GCAGAATATACTTGAACAAAACATTTACAACAACACTCAATAGGATAGCATACTGTGAAAATAAACATACATCATTAAATGTCAATCATCAACCAATTAATCAATCAAATCAAGCTAGTAATAATACCAAACTAAGATTTGAAAGCTAAGCTAAACTAATAAAAATCTACATTTAATTAAAAATACAAGAATGGTATACCAAACCAATATGCATGATATTTGATATTAAAATAATACATTATCCTTCAGAATATTATTGTTGTACTTTCACCGATGGCCGTATTTAAGTAATAATCATATTTGAGTCCTTAATTAATATGAAGTCTCTGTATTTTTAACAATATTTTCATCTTGTTTTTGTTCAAGTCTGAACATACTGAGATATTTGGTGAAACTGAGAATCACAGGCATAAATAAATAAATAAGCAACAGTATCAATAGCAATCACAACAAAACAGTTACTAAACTTGGGTTCTCATTATAGAATAAAGCTTTGGTCTCTATGTCTGAAAAATGGCCTTACCTCAAATCCAAAGACAAGCTGAACAGAGGCACCTTTGGTAAGTGTATAGTAGTATGCATTGTTAATAAACCACAAGTCAAGAAGGCTTAGAACAACCATTATCACTGGAGAAAAAATAACATAATTACAAAGAATCAAAAATATCATCCAGTAAGCATCAAATACTGTTTTTTTTTATGCTCAAGGCAGCCTGATGGATGCTGAGTGAAAAAAAGCTAGATTCACGATGATGAAAGCACAGGCAACCATTATTCCTGGAATTAATGTTGACACTATCAAGGACCATGCTGCACTGCGGTCTAGGATATCACCAAGAATTTAAATGCTCCAGAGGAAAAAATTGACTTTTGTAAGACAGAAATAGGGCATTTGACGAAGAAACTCAGGAACTGTTAATGAGATACAGATTTTTGAATATTAAAAAACTGGGAGAAAGGGATGACCAAAATTTTTTTCACATATTTCCCCCCGTTTTTTAAATATTAAAAAATTAGTATCCCACACCATTTTTTGGGCCTTAGAAAAATCAGTTATACAATTCCAACATATCAAAACATTTCTTCCCTCTGGCAACTGGCTTTAAAACCGAAAAAGCTCTTAATCTCTTCTTATATAAAATAATACATATGAATTGTATTCTTTTCTCGTAACTCATACGTCCCGATGCTATTTGACAACCTAGTTGCTCTTCTATTTCAATCTGCTTGCTGTTTCATTTGGTCCAAGGAAGATATTTATAGACAAACTGGCTTACTATGTGGTCTAGGTATAAATATATATTATCACTGGAGTGTTACAAACCTGGCCTCTGTGATGTCTGATTTTTTGACCAGACATGTGTTAATCTTAGTAAATGCACATTCACATAGAAGACAACATTTGCTCAATTTTTCTTAAGACACGTCCCATGCAACACTTCTGCTTGTGTGAATTTTTTATATACTGTATATAGTTTGATGCAGGTTTCAGGCTACAGTATTTATTTATTTTTATTATTTTATTACAAAAAAAAACACTGTTGATATTTACTGATGGCTCTAATGTGGAATATCCAGGAAATCACTGGGCTTCTTTCCATCTAAAAAAATAATAAAATCCAATGAAACACTGTTATGCTGATGAAAAATGAAAAAAACATTGCAAACAACATTCTATGAATTATGGGATAAATAACTTTTATTAAAAACGTAACACATTATTCCTTAAATTTATGTTATGTTACCTAAAATGATTCAACATGACTTTATTGATGTAGTATAAAGCCACTGATTTTAATTTCAATTATGAAGAAAGTACACATTTTATCAGACCCAATGCCCTACTGATGTTCAGCCAAACTCTATGTTGGAAAATCTCCATTCCCTCTCATTTTTCTTTTTACTTCTATGCTGTTTCTTTGGTTTGTTGTATACACTGCAATTTGCTGGACAGTAGGCCTATCTGTTTGATGTTATCAATCTATACTTTCTTTCACTAATAATAAGAATAATAATTAGAAGAATTTACATAGTCCACCCTGTCCTCAGCCAACCAATGGAAACATTTTAGGAACAAAAGAAGAGTGAACATGGCAACAAAGCGTGGACTAAAATCATCACGAAATACTGTAAATGCCAGACAGGTTTCTGTCACTGCATACCAGGATCGTTCAATCATGTGCTGTTAAAAAAAAAAGAAAACAAATTGAAAAAAATAAGAGATTAAGATGTGGGAATATGATAATCATCACCTTCATTCATAGTATGCTGAAATGCCATCACACTGACTTCTCTCATTAACTGATATTTTCTCTCCCTCCTACCACAGGCTTTTCATTATTTCCATAGTAATTTTAAACATACTTCATATATACTAGCATATATTTTTCATCGTAAATAATATTTCTTTAAAAATTTGAGATTCTAAATGTTATCACCCTCTAACAATTTTAACAGCTTTTACTTACAAATTTCTCACTTATTTTTTTTTTTACTTTTGCAAGCAACAATATTTTTATTTTGTGTTTGAGTCTGTCAGAGTCAGAATTTTACTCTAAAAAAGGCATATTTTAAGTAATGTTGTTATGTAATTATGTTAGATTTATATAGCGTTTATAGCAAAGTCTCTCAGTACTTAAAACCGTCGAGTGAGGAATTCATTATATTTCTCTTCAAACTAAAATTTCAAGATGGCTCCAAAGGGAAAAAGTTGTTTGATGCACCGCACAACTGATTTTTCTAAAACACAATATAAATGTTCTAATTCTGGGACAAAAGGTAGTTACTCCTCTTTTTTCGCCAGTTTTTTATTTAATATTCAAAAATCTCTATCTGATTAACCGTTTCCGGGGTTTTCACCTTCTACCTGAAATTTGCAATCAGCATACACATGGTCGGCTAATAATTATTACTACTTACTTCCATTTCAGCATCTCGTAACTGGCCAAAAAACACTTTTTTGAAGAGTTTTCCCATTAGTACAACAAAGACCAATGCTTGTAAGTACAATACCTGTATAACAAGAGAAAATAATTCAAACTTATTTCATTTTTCTTTGTGGATATAAATTTGAAAAATTACAATTGCTAGTGAAAGAGTCACTAATGTTATTTTTCTGAAAAATGTTCTGATATCAAACTGCCATGTTTATAATAGTTAGCCCTGACCTATATTTTGTGGGTGCCCCATAACCATTACCTTAAGTTTGAAATATAGATGCCCTTGGAGGAGGAACAGGGGACAAAGCAAAAACCTATACCTAGAAATCTGTTTATGCATTTTCAAAAACGATAAGAGCAGCGCAAATTTTGCATGCTATTAGTTCTTGGCCTATGTCTCAATATTAGCAATGTTATTCTGCAGCTAGTTTACGATTCTACGTACTGTACCTATTTTGAGCAATTTTCTGTGAAGCTGGTTTTTAATATAGAGTACTACTGTGTTACGTCATGATACCATGTGATACTACTCCGTTGCTATTGTTGCAAAGAGGGTTCAACTGGATGCCATTTTCATCCCTGACAAACCATTGATACCAATTTCTAACATAATTATTTAGATGTATCTTACTTTTTCTTTGTAAATTTTAATTGATGATTAAATGTGTGTTCCATAACTATAATGCAAGCTTTTGTGTTTTTAGTACATTTTGATGGTAAAATATTAGATTTTAAAATGCCTATTCCAGAAAGCCTATGAAGTCATTCAGGCGTAATGAACGGTAACTAACGTCCGTTGACAACAGAGAGTGCCAGCTGGCATTGTGACAACATGACTGTGGTACTCTACAGCTATGCAAATAAAATATTTTCAATGTAGTTCTGCATTAAACATTAGAATTAAACATAATATATTGTAATTAAAGAGTTTAGTAAGAATATAATTAATGAGATGACAACAGTGGCGGATCTAGAATTTAGCAATTGGGGGGGGGGGATGAATAATGGGAGCTGAGAAGGACCGAGCGGGGAGTGGGGGGTGGTTTTGAGAGGGGAATCCCCTCCCATTTGACAATTTTTTTTGGAATTAGTAGACTGCTAGAAAAAAGTACTTAAAATAGAAAGTGTATGTTTTACCAGAGTACAGGAGAAGCACACACACAAGAAGAGTGACCATTATTATTTTTTCACGGTAAACAAAGGGGGCTGGCTAGCTACCCTATTCACCCCCGCAAATTAGATCCGCCACTGTGACAAAATATATTATTAAACTTAAATTTCAAAGAGTTTTGGCATCCCACTGTTGTTAGTGTTCCTTACTACCGAAACCGTACAACACTGCCCAGCCTTCCTAATAGGCCTCAGTAGCTTAAACTACTATTATATTAGACCTTTAGGCTAGGGTCTATGCTTTTTGGTACAGTACAATATGATACTGTACAAATGCAATCAATTTTGGCCACAAACCAGTTCACTGTAATGTATTTCCGATGCAGAAAATTAGGAAAGTAAGTATGTTTTGTTTGTCTTATTAAAATATATCTTCCTTTTTAAATAAATAGGCTTATCTTATAAGGGTCATTCTTCAGTATAGTGAATATTTAGTGTTTCAGAAAATCATGAAAAAAAAATGTTTCATATTTTGTATTTCCTTCAAAGGATATAACCATTATGTTGTACAACAACCCTAATCAATGTTTGCCGTGGACTTTTAATAATACTAAGCGTTTGATATAACTTGATACTACTTTATTCATTCAAACTAGGGTACAAATGCCGAAACCAAGAAGACAATACCTGTAAGCTGGTCTGGTAACTAACAAATAAATTAATGAAATAAAATAAAATAAAATAAAAATAAAAAAAATAAGAAAAAACAAAAATCATAAAATCATAAATCGTTAATACTGTACAGTGTAAGATATGATATAATGATAACAAATAACAACATACAACAAAATAGTAATAATAATAGAGTAACTATTCTGTTGATTGATATGTGGGCAAAATTTATTGTTTCAGTTGAGCCTTGAATGTAACAGTGAATTTTGATCTTTCAAAGAGGGAGTCAGCCAGTATTTTGGACAGTAAAAGATAACTGTAGTTAGCTTAGATTTAAGTCTTACTTTTGGTATATGAAAAGATGATGACTAACGTGTACGATATGAATGAACTTTTTTGTTTAAAGAAAAAAGTCTTAAAATACTCCCCAACTTATATAACACTTTTATACCCAGTACATCAAGTCCAACAAATACAGGAGCTGTGCGAGTGAGCCATTTTGCTTTAGAAATATCTTATAGTTTGCTTTTTTATCCATACGGTATTCTCCTACATCCAAAATGGTTTGATCCATAATTCATTTACGTCATTTTGTTACCAACTATAGCATTCCAAAGTCACTGTGATGGAGCTGATCAAAATTTAGGGATACATTTTTTTAGTCTAAAAAGTCTTAATTTTATGAATTTATGGTTTTATATGTACGGTAGGTTTTAATTTTTAACATTTAAAAGACATAATTATTTTTTCGAATTACTTACTTTACGAATTACGAAATATGGACATTTGTAGAAACACAATTGGGACATACATTTTTAGTGAGGCTTTGCTGAAAATAAACTTCACTGTACTGTATGTCTATTATTTATATAATTATATATAAGATTGTTTGAAACTACATTCAATCAGAAACATGTTAAAAGATTATTTTACTGAAATAAAAATCAAATTTCCTTAAATCACCCATATAGTTTAAATGAGAAATTTAAGTTTGTTATTTACGAATTACACTCATTTCTTGTATGTTACGCCTGGCCTATGTTTCACTTGGCGAATTGACGATGAATAAAACAAATTGTTTGCCTTTCCCAGTCTTTTTATCACCTTTAAGTCAATACCCATAATATTTGTTAAATGCTATATTATTATCAGTACTTATTAATAATAATACTATGATATTTATTTTATTAGCCTAGTTATTCTATGAATTGAAATGAACCAACTAAAAACATACTATTCACTACAAAATGTGCTCCATCCATAAGAATTTGTTCTTGGCCGAAACGGTCCTACACTACCGCTAGACTGTAAGGTAAGGCCTGAGCGGGGAATATATCCTCCATGCAAAAATTAGACCTAGGGAAAAAAATGGTAAAGGAGCGAAATCAATGCCAAGACTAGCAAGCGCCAGCGGGCAAGGGCCCGGTTATAATATTCTGAATCGTTTTGAAATTGTCCAGATAGACAAAACGAATATTGCCATGTTATTCCCAATTTTATTGTTTGTTATTATTATTATTTCCCCTTTTTGTACTTTTGTGACATAAATTGTTTACCCTCATTTTGTCTGTATTTGAAAGTTTTATTTGTTTAAATGTTTTACTGCTTTTATATTGTTTTCTCACCAAACCCCTCCCCCATCCCCAATTCAAATATTGAATTTGTATGACTATTATTATTATTATTATTATATTGTTAATGATACTATTGCTGATGCTATTTAACCTTATTTTTACCGTAGTTATCGTAGTACACTTTATTGTTTATAATTAGTTAATTTTTTCGCATTTTTACCTTTATGACAAAATTGTTTAGCATCGTTTTGGTCAGTGCCGTTTTGACTTATTGCCGTTTTGTCCAAAACCGGTTTTGAGCCTGAGGTATTATCCACACAATTACAAAACTTTACAGCGGAGTATAGATAATACTTAATAGGATAGGTCCTATAAATCACGGGTAGGCCTAGGGCCTAGGCCTATGATGAGGTAATTGCCAAAATCTCGGTATGAGTTTGCATGGGTAGAAGTTAGCCTGTATTTTAGGGAGGCATGAGCCTAAGTCCTCTAGGATTAGCTAGGCCTAGGCCCTAGCCTAGCCCTCCCTAGGCCCTAGCCTGGCCCTCCCTAGGCCTAGACATGGGCCTAGGAGGGCCTACTAGGCTTAACCTAGCATAGATAGGCCTAGCTAGGCCCGGAATATTTGGAATTAACAAACTTACCGCCATGCTTGCATTTGATTTTGTTAGATACACCATTGACGGGTAAAATTGTTTTTTCTGATAGTAAGCATGACCAACAACAGCAAAAGTAAGCCCGAAGCTTAATGATGTAACAATTGCACCCCTCATTTTCTCCTGCTTGGTGGTGTTGGAGTCGACCAAACGTTACGTGCCACACTCTCAGCTCTCTCTCAAGTTCAAAAGGTTTATTTATGGTTCAAAGTTCACATTAAAACACGTCATGTAAAGATTAATTTACATAATCCTAATTTGGCAATTTAATTTCCTTGTATGGCGAATAGAAAATGATGTTCGTTGATTGGCTAAAAAGTCTTTAACATCTTCTCTCAGCTGCTCTAGCCTGCTGCATTTACTGTCCGCCAAGAAATGATGGTAAGTTTATTTGCTGTTTTTATGTATTATCGGTTATATACTTTGGTAATATCAATAAAATGTACATTATAAAAAATACTAAGAAACCACAAGGCATGATTGTCGCGCCAATGCAGTGCAGTTGCTGGTTAGTTAGTAATATAGTAGTAGGCCTAGCCAAGGCTTAGGCCTATGATGCGGTTGGGGTCGCGGGGCGACACGCGCGTATGACGTGCAGAGCAACTCGACAGCCCCGGACAGGGATTCGTTGTGTGCTAGGTCCTAGGGCCATCAGGAATATGGCCAAATGAACCTTTTTGCTGAAGCTCAATCTTTATAGAAATTTGAATAATATATTATATATAGAAGGTAGTACAGTACAGTATTTGTGTCGGGGTTTTGGCTAACTCGTATACATACCAACTCGTCGTACACATGCCAACTCGTCAGACTTTGACGAACTGGTACACAAATTATTATTTAGATGAACTCGTACACACGATTGGTAATCTCGTACACATGACTTTTTTGGCCAACTCGTACACATGACTTTTGGCGAAATCGTACCCAAATGCATTTTTGATAGGGTCATTTTTTTTTTGTTTTTCGATCAGATGAGATCAAACAAGCTGCATCAGATAGGGTCGTCAAAGAGCAAACCAGTGGGATAGGTTTGGACGGCAGAAACATGCATTCTCAAGTAAAAATGCAGATTCTTAACATATTTTCCATTTATTAACAACACTGGTGAAGTGGCAAACAATAAATTTTCAGGTATCAAATGAAAAACATGGGGGGGGGGGGGAAGAAAGAGGGCAGCCTATGACATCCCTAGGGTATAATTAGAAGTCTCACGCCTGCAAATTTGTCTAAGTTGGCATGCATTAGTGAAACAATGTGTATATCTACACCTGTCTCTTATACACATCTAGATGTGTATAAGAGACAGACAATAAATTTTCAGGTATCAAATGAAAAACATGGGGGGGGGGGGGTGAAGAAAGAGGGCAGCCTATGACATCCCTAGGGTATAATTAGAAGTCTCACGCCTGCAAATTTGTCTAAGTTGGCATGCATTAGTGACTGTAACATTAATTTATTAACAATTATTTGTATTACTTGGTTTTATTTTCTTTTTTACAGAAACAACGCAAATGTTACTATAGTCTATTATGTTCATCGTTTGTTGTGATATATTTTGACTGCAAGTTTAGAGGCTATTATTGCATAATTAAATGGATATTGAAATAAAGTACTCAAATTAGTCAATACATTAGTATGTCATCGTTTGTTTTCTTATTCCCATTTACTATAAATGTATGTTCGTAATAATTTACATAAAAATAAATGAAAATATACTATATGATGATGAATGCTGATAAAGAAATATATACTTTAGTATTTTCATATTTATATTTTCCATATAAAATTATCAATATACTTAGTACATTCCGTACATTTCAATGTCTCAGGCTTGTTTTATATTCGTAAGCCCAACAAAATCACTCACTTGAGCTATGGTATTTCATAGTTATAACTAGAGTATAGTAATTTGCTGAAACGTTCTCACAAATAGATTCCCACGGTAGACCTATACTCTTGAGTACAATATTTGTATTTTCATGTAAATGTTTTATTTCCATTTTCAATACATATTCTGATGTTCATGGATTATAGTTACGTTTTGAGCAGCCCTGGGCTAGCTAGTCAGGCCTAGGCCTAGTAAGTAGGGCTAGGGCCTAGGCCTAGGAGGTCTACATACATCAGATTTTAACAGATGATTTCTGATATTGAAAGGAAGGTTCCTTTCTATTTTGGTTATGATCCAGAGTGGTGGGATGTGGACGTGTGGGGACCATTTATTAAAAGAAAAACACTCCACACACACAAGTCCTGTAAGGGCCTAGGCTATAGCCTTTTAGGTTACTAAGAAGCACATCCGTGTGAGGGCGTTTGTCAAAATCATGAATAGGAGTCACATGGGGCATTTTCCTGGACTCTGATTGGGTATTACAAAAAACAAACACTCGGACAATGTTCTCCGATAATTTGCGATTCTGAATATGGAATGCCCACCTTCAAAAACTTAGCGGTGATATGTTTCAAATTTTAATAAAATACAAAAAAAAATAGAAAATAATTCATGATCATTCTCATAAAAAATTATGAAAACATCAAAGATTAATATATATATACTAACTTTATGTAATGTTATTTTTGATGTAATTTAATGCCACTGCGCCTGACTGTTTAAATGCCCTAGTAGGCCGCGATACAAGTGATATGTCATTGTGTAGTCTACCAGAACACATGCAGATAGAGGAGATATCGCATCTAGGCTGTACACACAGTGCATGCATATGGTCACAAATTCAAGATAGCAGCCAACATGCATAAATCAGAAAAAAATTCTATTTTATTAAATTTAGCATAATTCTGTACATATTCAACCAACTTTTGTCATCTAAACTGTAGATTACTCACATCAATGTGTTCTTTCTATTGAATTAATGTGATAAGAGCATGAGTATACTGCAGAAACTATATCAGAAATTTCTCTCATAGTCCATTATCAGACACTGCTATCATAAGCCATTGGTCATCTGCCAAAATGTAGGACCAATTACCAAATCCCTAAAACTACATTCACACTGTACTCGGCATGCCTGTCAAATGAATTGAAATCAACCTTAACACATTCCATTTTACAAAAAACTTCCATGAACCTTAAAATAACATATTCCATTTTTTCACAAAAAAAATTCTACAAAAGCATGAGTATATATGCATAAGCACAGTACACTCAAAAACTGATTTGCTGTCACTGATCATAGGAAATAAATTCATTCTGGATTCAGTTAATTATTTGTCACTGATCGGTGTAGATCTTTTTGCAAGTCATTGAATTTTGGTGATTCAGATTTGGGTGTGAATTTTTTTTTTTTTTTTGGGAGTGGGAGGGGGGTCATGTAAAGTGGTAACGTCCCAGACATAACAGTTAACCAATTTACAAGGAAGAGATGATTAAATTTTGGTGAAAATCCAGATTAGGGTGTGGATTTGGGGGGTCATTTAAAGGGCTGAAGTCCCAGACCTAAATACCTCAAAAACTCATCAATGGATCTGAAAGAAACTTTTAGAATGGTTTTCATGATCCAAAGAAGTAAGTGATTAAATTTTGATAGGGTGGAGACCCTTAAAACTGATCAATAGATCTAAATGAAACTTTCTAGAATGGTTTGTCATGGCTACCGGATCACACATAACTAAAAAGTTGGTTAAGACGTTCGCTTTGTGACCGGTCCTGGGTTCAAATCCTGGTGGAGGTAGAGATTCTGTTTTCATTATTTTTTTCAAAAGCAAAAGATGTATGGAAATTTTATAAAGGGTAATTATGGGGTGGGTGGAGGTACACACTCTTAAAGTGTGCTCTAAGTTATTTTTAAAGTAAGGTGTATAAGTCCACCAATTACATTTTTTTTATTGCATTTTACAACCCATTTGTTTTGAAAAAAAATTTTAATGGTTTATAAACACATATGCACATGTAATTACCACTTTAGAAACACTAGGGCTTACGCCAGTGTGAGTAGTTATAATACAACAAATTTACCATGCTTTTTATGTTTCTACATTTATTTCATATTTTTCAGATATAAAAATATTGAAAATCTGCACACATTGAGTTATGGGAAGTGAATGTCATCTTTGTTTAACTATAATAATGCAAGAGAATCATTAGACCTATGTCGAATCCAGAAATTATGGAGAGCAAAGAACTGGTTTTTGATGCATTAAAGACATTTCTAGTAACACCACCATCATCAAATGAAGGTATTACAGATGGCCATCAAAAAATCGTGAAACGTGTTGTAGTAGCAAGTGTACCAGACGCAAATGGATGGAAAAGGAGATGCAGCTGGCAGGAATTGGAGACGGAGATCACTGGTTCTCTAACACCCATCAAAAGATTAAGGAATTCATCAATGACAGTTAAAAGCAAAGAAATGAATGCATTTTTCAAACTTTTTGGTATGAAACTTGAGTTTTATGATTTGATGTTATTCATACACAAAATAAATTTAAAGTACTGTCTGATGACAATTAACAAAACAATGTGTATATCTACACTATCCATATTAATTGTATGTTACATATTATTTTATAGTGTTCTTAATCAGATGAAGTAAAATGGTATATTATTGCTAGCTGAAACTAATGCATAAAAATATATTTAATATATTTTTCTTGTCATTATCGTTACAACAAAATGTTGAACAACCTTATATCCAAATAATTTATTTGCAGAAAATGATACAATTCAGGATTTTCTTTGGATGGACAGATGTGCCAAAATAGCAGACAAGGTACAGCATTAAATTTGTATTAAGTAAATTTATGCTAATATTCATCATATTGATATCAACATTCATCATAGTGATATGCAAAAAAAATATCATTATTATTATCTTCATCATATAGGATAGGGAGCAAATTTTGTTTAGGTTTTCAACCATTTCTTATCCGAGCAAACAATATTATTTCATTCTGTGTATTTGCCAAACAATATTTTCATCATTATCATTAATCAATTGACATGAGCACTATATAATTGATGAGTAATACATGTACGGTGTAGTTTTGTTTACTTTCATCATCGTACAACACATTGTGAAAAATATTTTTTAAAACAACAATTAAATGATTCCTGTGAAAAATGTTTTGGTATGCCTACAACCTTAGTGCTACACCTGTCTAGGCTTGCTGTAAAGCTAAACTAACATTGATTTTAGGGGATCAAATTGCACTTGAGCAATATTAAAACAAAGACATTTTAAGTCAAAGCTTAAGTATCAACTCTTAAAATGAGCAATTCAAGTTTTGTTTAAATTATTTAGGATGGTTTTTGGGTTGCTGACAATATATGTATTAATGCTATAAAGACAGATTTCAACAATACATTGCACTTGACCTTAATTTAAGATATAAATTCTTTGTTGATTATAATAAATATTTCAGTCAATATCCATCTAATACACAGGTGGACAAAGTGCAGCTCGACATTAATTATTATGTAGCGAAAATGAATTAAAACCCCTATGTATGCAATCATTTTTGACTAGAAAACACCTTGTTTTTTACAGGCCGACACCGATCATCTGTAAAAGTAATATTAAAACTGAGCATAAAGTGGCATAAAAGCAGTGCATGAAGGTGATTGGAAGCACACTGAAAACAAGTTTGAATGCCGCCCTCAGTGTGAAATCAAGAATTCAATTCACTTTGGTCCCGAACCACTTTTATGCCCACTCCTGATCTAATATATATAATGATGACACTGTGATTTGTCTTACAGTATCTTTTAGCAATGGTATTTGCATATTTCAAGAGAGCAGAACTGAAGACAAAGCAGTATACCAAAATGAATTTCTTTATTGCATTGTAAGTATAGATTCTATCCAAAACATATATTATTGATATAAACTGTCATTGTTGCATTTCCTCTGCAACCTTCAATGAAATTTTTAAAATTGGGCCAGGTTTATTTTTTGCTTAACATATTCCAAAAGTTTACACTTATTACTGTATTTTGAGAAATACAACTGCTGAAATCAACACTTAATATCTTACCACAGAAATATATTTTTATTGAACCATACATGGATGTAAATTTGTTAAAATACGAGGCCAAAGTTTAGGACAAGTTACCAGGCATTGCATGCATAATACAATTCAACACGGTATAGGTTGAATATTTCAGGGTGTTGTAGAGTAAATAATTACATGAAAGTGAAGTATATAGTGGAAATTTTGTTTATGGCCATGTCACACCTTGACGATTTAGCCAGCGTATGCCGGCATATCATAATTTCTCTTACTGTAAGCCTGTTTTCCACTAGGCGAATTTATTCGCACAAATCAAAGGCATCGGTTCGGTTCCTGAGCTCTGATTGGTTGCGCACACTTTTCATTTTGCAAAAAGTAGAAACAGTTCGAACTACCAATTTCGCTGAAGTGAAAACCAAGATAGAAATGTGAATGCACATGAACAACGCTTTTGATTCGCGCGAATAAATTCGCCTAGTGGAAAACCTGCTTTAAATGCTGGCATACGCTGAATTATCGATGTTTTTTTCAATTTTGGGTGTATACATAGTGTATTCATAAACAAATTGAACATATACATAACGTATTAATAATACGTAACTTATATAGAAAGTTCAATAACTTATAGATAACTTATACCAACAAATGCTTAGCATTTTGCTGATTTTTACAACTTATGCCCTTAGGTCTAACTTACGCACAGTGTGCGCAATGTATCATTGACAATCACATGATAGCCTTTAAAAAGACTGTCGCTAGTCAATTCAAATTATAACTGCACTAGACCGCAGTATCAACATCACCCCATTTTTATACAATGCCCCTAAACACTGCCAATATGCCATTATACGGTAGCTGTAAGTTAGAAACACGTTCAGTAAGTTCTGTGGTCCTCCGGAACATGTCTAGTACATCTACATACGTCTGTATGCATTGGAGATACAGTAGTTCGATATAAGTTATATACACTGGCTAAATTGTCATGGTGTGATAGGGCCAGTACTAAAAAATATAACTATTATGCATACTTTAAATTTACTGTTAGGTACCTTGCAAATGATATGGAAGAAGATGAAGAAGATTACAAATACGAAATATTTCCATGGGCTCTTGGAAAAGATTGGAGACATAAATACACAAAATTTCTATACAAGAAAGATCGGTTTTGGAAGTCCATCAGCTTTAGAGCTGCAGTTAGTAGAAGATGCTGTGAAGAGGTATACTACTATATACAATTTGTTAAATTACTATTACCAAAATTATTAGGTGTAAGTCCACCTCAGGTATAAGCTCAACCACCTTCTTTATGCTCATGTACATACCAGCATTCCCTGGCAAAAACCCAGGTTATGATTTGCATGAGTAGATCAGCTGACTTACAAAGTTCTTTGTCTAAATTCAAGAACAATTAAAGGGTTAGGGTGTTAAAAGATTGAAGATTTTCAGTTTGTACTTTGAAAAAGTGGTCCTAAATTTGAAGAGTCTTGGAATTAAAGGGTACATTGTACTTTAAAAAAAAAAAATCAGTTGTCATTGTTTAAGATGTTGAAAAGTTGTCTTTCGGTTGGACATGCATGCAAATTATAGGAAAGGTTGTCAGCTATAAAATGGTATTCTATTTTTTTCACCTTTTTTTGTGAAAAATGGATTTGTACGGTACCCAATCACCAATATAACTCAATTTGAGTTCAAGCTTATTGGGCTTATCCCAGAGGAACTGTGGTACAGGGTATGTATTCATATGTCATGATTTTGGAACACAATTTTGGAAATTCAAAAATTAAATCATTCCTAAATTTTACGCACTCCTAATTTATAGTCAATTCTTAACCTAGGGGTGATTTTTGCTATTTGGGGCCATTCTAATCGCCATAAATTTTATTAAATTTTTACCACATCGACAATTCACTTCTGATCCATCAGTATTGTTTGCAAGACAGCAAGATGAATGAATGTATGTCCACCAGCAAACATTATGAAGAGGCTTAAGTTGTGTGTATGCGTTAGAACATTGTCTTATATTCTTAACCCTTGCAGTAAAACATAAGTGATTTTTTTTTTTTTTCAGATTATGGCAATTGCTCCATACCATGTGATCTGGAAACGCAATAGAGCATTACACCACGGAGGAGCATTTCGAACATATGATAGTGATGACGAGTTTCTCCCGCGAGGTCCCAGTGCATCCCCTGTTCACTGTGAGGCTTGTGCTAAGACAGGAACATTTGCCTACACACCTCAAAGTTCATCTAGTGCTGATAGCTCTTATTTGTTTCTTTCTTCTTGCACTGATACCTCAAGTGATGAAGAAACTCACTGTCAGGATCAGGCAGTACCAAAGAGCTTTGATATGACAGGTGATTCAATATTTCATAAATCCAGCAGCATTACTACTACAATATCAATTTTGTATATGACAAATTTGTGTTATGTACCCATATGCATATGCCAAATATGGGCATATCACACACATTTATCACATAAAAGTTGATATTATCTGGAGAGGGAACTATGAGTTTTGTATTTATATAAATATAAGAATATAGTTGTAATCAAAAGGTTTTCATTCTTTTATATTATAGGACCATTAATGTTGGCTCTTTCTCTATAATTTTTTTTTTATTTGCAGGTCTTCAAAATACTTTACAGACCAGTGATGATGCATATTTTTGGGCAAGTAAGGAGGATTAATTTGTTTTGTATAGAATGTACAGACTTCAGTGTACAGTACTGGCTTGTTGATCATCCGCATGGTAACAATGTTCTTAAGAGTTGCATCAAAATAAAAATAAAAATAAATCTGGTAAATGTAATGATTATTCTGGTAAAAATGGACCTGGTAGAAACATATGGTAATGGTAAATATTTGAGAACTTGTACAGTGTAGCACATAATACATTCCTTTGTGATGTAACAAAATGGGAAATATAACAATTAATGCTCAGGATACAAAGAAAGTTTTAAAAAAAAAACTCAGAATATTGCATATGAAATGATGGTAAAAATAAATCCTAGGTATAAAGTAAGAATTTGTAAGCTGAATTTTGGAATCAGATTTAGAAAATATCATTTGTGCTGCAAAATAATGTACATTAGTTCTTTATTTTTATCATGTTACCACTACAGGCAATTTTTACCATTTCATCACTACAGACTATCTTTACTAGGGCAATTGTTGTCTTGTTCCACAAACATTAGAATTCTCTAAGGATATACTGTACATTGTTTTATACTAGTTGCCTTTTTCCCAACTTTTTTTTCAGTATAAAACAAACAATTAGTTATCCATTCTGGCAAAACCCTACTTTGCTGGAAACATTCTTTGCATATTAAGATGTTGCCATCGAATTTGTGACTAAACCTACCTGGATAAACTGATAAATGCTAAGTTATTTTTTCATTTTGTGCAACTCTCTATAATAGAATCACTTATCTCTTCGTACAAAAGCCCTGTAAATCCCAATAGCCTCATTTTCATTGATAAAAAATAAGACGAAATATTTGCGAAGTTATGATAAATTTACAAATACAGTATTATGTCAGTCATGCAGAATTTATGAAAATTATTTGGTTTTGTGACACATACACAAACAATAGCTCAACACCACTAATTTCTAAAATGATGTCAAAATTAATGCATCTGTTAGCAACATATGGTTCTCCTCCCCAAAATTTTCTTTTGGTTATTTGCACAAATTTCTGAAAGCCAATAAAATGGGTTCCCAATGAAATAATTTAAAAATCTTGTATAAATTGATGAAATGATGAAAACATTATACTATACTGTAAGATTGGTGTTCACACATGGCAATTTAGAAACCCCCCCCCCCAAAAAAAAAAAAAAATTTTTTTAATTAAAGAAATTCGAGGACAAGGATGCTCCAGAATGCCTTGATTTAGGGATGCATTAACACCCGTTTTCGTAAATAAAAATACCATTATGGTAAAAAATAGCAATACTTAAAAGTTCTAGTTTTCAGAAATGCAAAAGTTAAAAATAGTGTTTTACCAGAAATTATCACATTTTATAAATGAATACAAATTGTAAATATATTAGCTTGTTCCAGATAAAATATAATAAAAATCTGAATATACACAATCACATTAAAATGTATGCTTACAATTTGAGTGTTAAAAGACCACCGCAAGTTTAGCTTTCAAACTTTACAATAACATATCAAGATTTAAGAAACTGACAATAATACTGTATATCAAAACAATTTTGCAATTCTATAATATTTATATATTTACATGGAATATGTAGAAAGTATTTACAAAGTAGTTAATGATGAAGAAAGCAAACAGATTCTCAGTTTATGCAGCAATACTCCACATATTATCTTTATTTTTACAAATATAAAAATTCCGTTTATAATGTTGAGTATATTTTAGTCGTATGAAATCTATTAAAAACTTTACTTTATTATTAGTTTTTATATTGTGTATTAAAAAAACACCAATTAGAAGATAAAGATTCTTTTAGGACATTATTATCATTATATGAGTTTAACTTAGAATGAACACTTTTCTTCATAAAATTCAGATACAAATGATATATTTGTTTCAAAATCAATGGTTGGATAAGGGTAAAAAACATTGATGACTAATTGAAAGTATGTTTGTAAATCTAAATAAACAAGAATCAAATTCTCCAACAACATACAGAAATTAATGCCACGGTGGCAGTAGATCCTTTATAGAACAATCAATATTTGTCACATATTTAATAATATGACACGTTTATATTTTAACATTGTTATTTTTGCTTATTTAATTTTTAAAAAGTAATTTATAGACATATTTAATATTTATATTTAATATTTAAGAAAGCCCAGGTGGCAGTATTTATGAATTTTGAAAAAAAAAAATGTTTTACTTTGTATTACAGTACTTTAAGAAATCGAAAAACTCATTGTTTGTATATTTTCTGTTTTCTATTATCTGTTTAACAATATGTACCCTGTATTAAAGATTGTTTTCTAAATTGTAATGTTCCTGTTCTTCGGTATTTATATCAAATATAATATTGTGAAACAGTCGTTCTCAAAATAATTAGAATTACAGTATACTGCAATCATAAATGTTACATGTTATGAAAAGAGAGTTTGAAATAATAAAGTTATACCATGTTATCACATATTATGTTTGTGTCCTTTTTAGCATTTGTGTGCTTTTCAAGGACACTAAACTGGCAGGACCATACTGACTGTTTGCATACCAACCTATCCATACCACATTTAATGTTGACAAAATCTCTCCATATTCCTGAAGTTTTGGCTATAAATGTCACTATATTCAGATGTTAAAATTGGCAACAAATCAGCAGTCCTCTAATTCTCTAGTGAAAACAATACTGCAGTATCTTGGTTCAAAATCTGCAATAATGCTCAAACTTTATACGAAGATGGAAACAATTCCAGCCTGACTGCTTTCACTAAAAATGCTGAAAATAAAAATAAGATATGTTCCCTGCATAAAATGACATTATACCTTTGTCCACATTTTAATTCAAGACCATCTCTGAAAATTTGGGGTGGTCTCAGGGTTTGTTCTCCAATTAGAGAATTTACTTTGTGTTTAAAATATTGAAGATTGTTACAGTATTTGGTTCTTCAAAAAAAGTGGTCTTAAATTAGAGGGTCTTGGAAATAGAGGGGTCTCAAATTCGAGGGTGCACTATATTAATACTAACTTGTCATTTGCCTAAAATGAAAATACTGTAGCAACAAACAGATATTGAAATTATCTTGATTACAATACATGTCAAAATTTAAGGGAAAAAAGAACATGAATGATAATCAAGACCCTACAGTATTACTTGTAGTGAATAACAATTATAATACCTGAATGTTCACTGCCTTTCCAGGGCTTTGCAATATATTTTATGTACTGAGCTGGTCCTATTAATCTCTCAGGTGTTTTTGCTTCCTTCCCTGAAACAAAGAACAAAAAAACTGAATAATCAAATATTCTTATTTTTAATTGTGTTTTACTAAAGTATCAGTGGCAGATCCAGGAGTTTCCGACGAACCCCTCTGTGTTAAGAAACGTAACAAAATACCACTGGGTCTTGACTCTCAAAAGGCATGCTAACCTACCTAGGCCATGGTTGACAGATCGGACAAACTAGGCTTAGTCCAACTAGCCTTCAAGTAAATATAATTAAAGACACTGTTTTAGTTCAAAATCATAAACATAAATTTTGCACAAATTTGGGTTCTTCAGACCTCCATGGAAGAAGACTACGTATCCAACTACTCAATATTGGAATAATATTAATTTATTGTCTATATCTTTGATTTATCATTTTGTTCTGTATGTATAAGCCCACACACATAACCAGCCTAATGACTGTAGGCCTAATAAGAATGAGGGAAAACCTTGAGTTTCAAAGAACTTAAAGTCATTAAAACACACCTCAGAAGTCGAGAAAGCTCATTTCCAGCCATCTAAGAATCAAAATTTTCCCGGGGAGAACCACCAGACCACCCTTAGTATTTCATATTACAAAATTTGATTTATATAAGTAGTCATATGGTAAGCCAAGAATTTACCAATTTTACACTGCCTGTTAATTACTAATAATAAGGTATGTCTTAAGTCCAGTTGAAAAATGTTTTACTTTTTGTTCGTTTGTCACAATGTGGACAAGATCTAATTTAGGAGTTTGTCTACCTGTATGTTTGTCACAATGTGGACAAGATCTAAATTTGGAGTATGTCTCCTATTTTTTCTTTAATGATTTTTCACATAATTTTCTATTAAACTTTTGTACTTTCATCAAATTGTATTCAGAGGGATAAAACTAACTTGAGCAGCAGCAGCAGAGAGCATATTAACACGTTGACTGCCAGACCTTTTTTTACGGTTCCTTCCCGTGTGCCAAAACAAGTTTACATGTACAAACATACTTTTTTGAAATTTTATCTAGTCATATATCATCAAAATGATGTGTCTAATAAATTGGTGGGAAAATATTAGGGGGCGAGTATACTCGTTGATGCACTGTGATAGAACTTTTTGCTGACTATGCCAAGTGCGAGTTATCTCGACCTCTTTTTGCATGGGTTGGTATATGTTCAAAGGGCGCCCCCACTTGTACCGCTCGAGTGTACTACCGGCAACATAACTCAACAAACATACATATGTCATTTGTACGTTATCGTCTAGGTGTATCTTCCCCAAACTACCAGCCGTTGAGTCTGTGGTCGTACATTGTATAATAAAGAAGTTATAAACGCTAGAATGTTCCCCCGTTTTTGACGAGTATACCTGATCCTGGCGCCCTCAGCAACACCCTGTGGGCGAGTATACTCGTCTCTGGCAGCCAACGTGTTAAGGAGGACAGCATGCACAGAACCCTAGAAAGCAGTAAACCAGTGCTGAATAGGCTATTCTGATGACCTCTAGTGTTTGACAGGATTTTAATTTTCAACAACCCAGCCCACCATGAAAGAGACCAGGTGGTCTTTCTAGTCCAGAAAGCAACGATAAACGTACAATAATCACAATATTTACAAACTTTTGTTACAACATACAGTAACTTGGTCCTAATGAAAAATGTGTATTACTAGTATTCTGTATTACCATCATCATCTGTAAGGTGCACACTCATGTTTGATGTAGAATTGATGAATGCTCCATTTCTTCGTCTAGCTGGGTTAACTATCCAGTCTGTATGCTGCACTTCTACTATATTTTCCACAGTAAAAGGAAGTTCTTGGCTTCGGATTATGTCACATATTTCAATAACTTGGGTTATGCTAACAAATGAAAACCAAAGCCAATCAGTTAACAAAACTGTAAAACACAAAATTATGTGGTTCCTGAATTTTCATGATAATCGGGTACCATTGGGGAAAGGGGCCAGATCAGACAGGCCAGGGCCCAACTTGGCCACTAGGCCTACAGGTTAGACCAAAAAAAATGTTTCCATTGTAAAAAACACTTGTTTAGCCATTATATGTTCTAAAATGTTTCAGAACATTGTCATGTAATTAAAAAAAAAAAGTTGATGTTGTCGAACTGTTTTGATTGGTAATTGCTATGTGGTTTTAATATTGCACTAAGTGGTTTTGTTTGGTCTGGTTTGATGTATTGTGTACACACCGAGAGACGCACCCCTGGCGCATATACCCCAGCGGTCCTTCGCCAGTATTGATCCAGATCCAGAACAGTTTTAATAAACTGGCAAATAATTTCCCAGTTATTCTAAGCCCAGGGAGGACCCATCAGGCGTAGTAGTAATTCATTTTATAGGGGTCTGGCTATCCTGACCTCAACATACTGAAAAAACATAGTGACCAAAAAAAAACCCCACCTTTAGTTCCCTTAGGAATTGATCGATAAAAAAAATTACTTCATCACTTACTTTGCAACATAGAAACATACAGCTCCTCCAATCTTGAGAAACTGTATTAAAACAGGCATTGCTGCAGCGCACTCTTCCATATCAATTACTGCCTGAAACAATATGTTAGAAAAAATAAGTAAAGCAGTTAAAGGGTAATAATAATACTGTTCCTGCAGTGGTACTTAAAATGTTGCAAAGTAATTATATTACAGCATGTGAATAAAATGTGCAGCATTACAGTATAGAGTTGTAAGAATTTATATCTTATAGCATCCTCTCAATTGAGTTGAGCTAAGTTTGGGGAGACAGACCATCGCTCTCTCCTGCTGACCCATGTTAATTCCAGAAATGTTTAAGTTCAAAGCATGCTGTTTAATACCATTTTCATCGGGTAACTAAATTATAGGTGGAGGCTAATGTTGTTCAACACAAATTCGACAATTCTGTTTTGTGAATGCACAATTATATAAACTCTGGGTATAAAAACCTACATGTAGCTTCCAAGTTGGGAGGTGTTCTGGCTTAGAGTCCACATCCACCTTCAGCCTCATCATGATTGGGGTTATAAGGTGAGAAATTAGCACCTGATGTCCGGAAATGGAACTCTCAGATTTGGAAAAAGCATCTTAATATGAAAATTGAAAGTTTAATTTTGAACACAAAAAAAAAACTAAATTGAGCCACCATCAGAGTATTGTGTGCATTTTTAGATTTGTGGCTTTTTAATTCCAATTCGATGTCTGATTTTGTGAAAATTTCCTGTAAATTTTGCTTTTGTCTTTTGGCTTGCCACTGCTTTTTATTATCTTGTAATTTTAACTCTATTTTATATATATTTTGATTTGCTAGTTGTACATTTTATTTCAATTCAGCTATGTACTGCCATAATATTTTGGATAAAGATACCTCGATATATACAATACCTGTACTTATTATTATTTGGCCAACATCAAGTGCAATAATGAAATAATAACTTACACTAATCATCACTGTTCTTGCAATCGAAGTCATTTTAGAGGAAACACTAAATTATTCGAGCATTCATGAAATATGAAATACAGTAGAACCCCAATTATAGGAACACCTTCGGGACCAAAAAAAGTGTCCCCTTAATAGGAGTGTCCCCTTAGTAGGGGTGTCCCCTTAACAGGGTTACCTCTATTCAAGGGATACTACTAGAAATATAAAATTGTCCCCTTCATAGGGGTTTTTGGCATGTTTTCATATAACGATGACATAAATTCTTTATAATTTCATTTTAATTGACATAAGAATCAGTTACAGTAGAATAAGAACTAATTTACAGCAATAACTTGCAATGCAAATACAATTCATTTACAGTATAATATGAAATCAGCAGAAATGTAATTAAAACAACAATAGTTTTATATGTTCCCAATATTGTTTCATTATTCACTATTAAATTATCAAATAATTTCATATGGTTTTAAATAGTATAATGTAATTAATGTTTGTAATGTGTATGTGAAACTGGTTTATTTACAAATAACAACAATCATATTAGGGCTTTCTACTAGATGGATGAAGCAGGAATTAATATGTTTTGATATGGATAGAGTCCCATATGAAATACACAAAAAAAGAAAAACAGAAATCCCCATTGTTAAGGGTAAAAATCAACAAAATTGGTTTAGAAGTAACAACAGTAGGCCTATACTGATTACTCATGGATTAAGGGGAAAATTCTGGTTTATTGCTCAAAAAGTGTTAAAATTTAAGGTTGAACATTTTTTTTAATTTTTAGAGTGCTGTAGATGTGATACAATGAAAAAAAAATAATTGCCCCCTTAATAGAGGTTATGTGACCATTTGGCACACTCAGAAAGTGTCCCCATCCCCTTACTAGGAGTTTCCCCTTAATAGGGTTTGGCTGTAGTATTTAAAGATATATTGCCCCATGTTTCACAGAAAAATGTCCCCTGAATAGGGATGTCCCAAAGGAGGCCCATTCTACTGTATTGGAAAACAGTATAAGATTACAAAAAGCTTGAGATTGGGTCTGAATGTTCGAGTCTCACTCCAGAAAAATGTCCCAGATACTCCAGATACAAAAGACTTGGTAGCTATAACCTACAATATAATAATCTAAAATATGAAATACTGTACCTTACCCCATCAAATTTGAGGCCTTCAAGAATCCTATATCCATTGTTAATCAGACAGCCATGGTGAAACTCAACATTTGAGGTCCACTTGCAGTTATGGCTTAAGTTCCAAGAGTCTTTCCATCTATTGAAGTTTTTACTTGCTAGATCAAGATGCTTCATTTTCATTTCCATAGAGTGAACTTTACCCTGAGGTCCAACTAAAGTAAAAATATTTTGTCAATTTGTCAACCAGATTCACAAAAAAGAGACTATAAAGGCGTATTCACACAGAATCCGAATTCGGTTCGTGCGTGTAACGAAACGAAAAAAGAAAATTAAATCGGTAGTAAAGAATAGAGGCGCGTAATAACACGCGCATCGAAAACGGATTCGGTGTGAATCTACTTTAAAATATCGGCGCTGGTTCGAACCTATGGTGGTGGAACTCTTTAGTGTACACAATTTGGCTCATGTGCACTTTAAAGAACCCAGTATACCTTTTGAGACGAGTACACCTCAGTGTAGTGGTCCATACAGCCCCTGAGTAGTACCAGACCACCGGGTAGCTCAGACACGAAGAGACCCTTATGGGAGAAGCATGTTACTGTACTAAGACTGTTTCGGTATAAAATGCGCATAGGTAAATCCAACATTACATAAAAGTGAGTCAACCACTTACCAGCTTTAGAGAGGAAAAGAGTCATGGCACCCGATCCGGAACCAGCCTCAAGTATGGAATCACCAGGAGACACATCAATCATCATCAACATAGTACATATATCCTACAGAAACAGTTTTATATCATAATAATTACCTTGCACTAACGTGCAACTATTTTCAATATAAATGTTTAATCAAGTATATAGCTGGTCATATAAGATTTGAAAGAAAATATATCAAGCATTCCTCCAGATAATTAACAATTTGATTGGTAATTTGGCTTTATTGTGGTCAACACCATAGGTCATCTGCAATATAAAATCCATTTTGTATGACTACTGGTATTAGCCTTTAGCATATCTGGCCAAGCCTTCATGTGCTTCATATTATTATCAGAAGCTACCCACCACCATTGGATCATACATTTTTGGAGAGCATACTTCCCTGTGGAAGTATTCTAAAATACTGGTAACAATACATTGTGTAGGCTGGGGCTGTGCCAACGCACCCCTCACCCCTTCCACACCTCCATGGTGGCAAATTAGTTCCACTATGTCGGTCAAACCACTCCCAACCCCCTACCCAGAGCATTACCAGCCTACACCACTGCCAACGCATTTCAAACAGGCACCCACTTGTACTCCTAGATAGAAGAGAAGATATGAAAAAAGGGCCTTGCCCAAAAACACAACCAAAATGCACAGCACAGATTCACACTCAAGATTAAGCATCCAAATTACACCAGCTATTAACATACCCCTTCCTTAAGCTCCTTTCACACTATCAAATTTTTGTGATGTTTGATAGTGAGGACAGAGCAGATATTAACTCACTTTAGGGAATGATATGGTTGGAAGTCTTCTCATTATTAAAATATAATCATGAAGAGTTGGCCGACGTATCAAGACTTGTATATCTTGGCTGGTAAGGAACTCTCTGCCACAAGTTTCACCAATAATATGCCTGTGTGGTATAGCTCCATATTTACAGCTGAAAATCCCTTTTTCTGTCAGCTTCACAATAACTTTCATTGATGTATGTTTTTTAATATTTTCTCTTATTATCATTGCCAGCTCACCATCAATAAAATTGCCTGTTGCTTTGGTTTGGACTTTACTGTCGACTTGGGGTATTCCCTCAGACGATTCAACTTTTCCAAACAAGGAGCAATTTTCCATTGCCGATTGATTTATTTCTCTTGCCGCTTCACAAACTGTTTGTGCTTTTAACTCGTTTGAGAGTCTTTGGAATAACTTCTTTCTGAATAGTAAATATCGACTTGAAGCAGGAGTCGCAGACCAAAATCTACTCACACCACAAGGCTGTAGAATCCTGTAAGAGATGAAAATAATTTTCATAGCCATTACTTGCTTGCTTGATATCTTGCTTGATGATAGTGGGTTTATGAAAGGCATAGCTTGTATGACCATGGCAAACTATCTTCTAAATAAAGCGACAGGTGGGGGAATCCAGCAAGTGAAAAAGTAGTTTTAGTTTGGCATGTCATGAATGAAGCTATATTGAAAATGTTTACAAATATGTGAAAACAAATTAAATGCAATGTCATTTCAGTGAGCATTCAGTAATTAATTGAACTGGTTCAAATTAGACGTGTTAACAACCTCATGCTGAAGACAATTCCATGGATCTACAACTTTACATCCAAATTAGAATTGTATTATCCAACTGAGATTTACTTTTATATAATTTAAAATCATGACCTCTAGTCATAGCATGTTTAAAGGAAAAAAAGATTCATATTAATATTATCTATTCCATGAATAATTCTGAAGACTAATCATGTTTGCCCTTGCCCTTCTATATCCTAGTGTCGAAAGATCTAAATATATTTCAGTCTGTCATACATTAAATATCGTTGAGAGGAGGTAGGGTGCTGAGAATCTGCATGTTAATGTTTAGAATGAGCTTGTACTGGGAGACTCCATCACATAGGATTTGGAACTCCAAGTAGCCTAAATCCATACAGTATACAGTATCCAGTGGCAGATTAGGGGGGAGTGAAACAGTAAGCCAGAGCCCCCTCCCCCACCTAATTTTTCAAAATTTCAAAAAATGAAAAAAACTATATTCAAATTCTGTCTGAGAGTGACACTTCTGGCCATCTAGAAGTGCCATTCATAAAACCTCATGGGGGAAGCGGTTTGGCACATCGGGAACGGTATAGTTTCCTAACCTCAAGGTCTGGGATTCAATTCCTCGCTGTGCATTTCGCTTGTGTCCTTGAGCAAGACACTTTATCTGCATTGCTTCTCTCCACCCAGGAGTATAAATGGGTACCAGGTGGGGTTGCCTGTTCCTGCGCTGATTACCAGCAGCAACACTTAGCATATGTGGACCCAATTACCAGGGAAAAGAACTGCACTTTATAACCGCAAGCAAGAGGCGCATTATAAATGACCGGACCAGTGGAGCTGAGGTATTACTTCTTAAGTGCTACAGAAATTTTGCCTAATTACAGACGTTGGGAAATAGACAAAAATACTGTACACAAATTTATCACAGGCCTAGACCCATAAAGTCCAGAAAAAATGAATCTCCGCCGCCCATCACGATTATTGTGAAAAACTAGAAAAAGTGGCCCATAAGTACATCCTGTCCTCTTTCTTTGAAATTCCACATCTGTTATTATCCATGTTGCTGTCTGTACCTATAATTTAAGCATGTTTTTCAAACATCAGGAACTTCTGTAGTTGCTACGAAAATTCTGCCTAATTACGGACATACGAAAAATTTAAAAAAAAATACTATGGAAATTTATTATAGGTAGACCCGTTAAAAAATAGGTCTAATGTCCAGAACAAATAACATTTCCATCAGGATCTTCGGTGATGTTGTTCCTAGACAATCAGAAAACTAAGTAAAAGTGGCCCGAACAATTTTTTTGAAGAAACTTATAAAAAGTCTGTTTATAATAGCAACTCATATTTTGCACTAGATAACATTGTCATTATTTGGTGCTACAAGATTACTAACTTGAGAAGTCTGTGGTTTAGACCTGACATCTGCGAAAATCCCTCCCTGGGTTGCGTGTCCGCATCCCTTGCCATGTTCCCACTACAGGATACACCAGTAAAGCTTAGGTAGCCTAAGAGTAGTAGGCCAAGGCCTTCGTAGTACTACAGTACTAAAATTAGTGCCCTAGTAGTAGTAGTAGTTGGTAATTACTACTACTACTACTAGCTAGAAGAACCTATGCCAGGCCTACGCCTACCTAGATTGGGTAGTAATTGCAGTAAATTAGACGAACTAACTGTAATTAATATTAGACTGGTATACCTAATGAGCGCTTCGAAACTCTGTCTCGCTCGGTTCCGTATCATTTTAAACAAATAATGTCTTTGGGTACAACAGAATAAACATGTGCCCGACCACCAGTGTCGTATCAAAGAGTATAAAACTGCAGTTGTATTTTGTATTTGTAAACAAAGAATAGAGTGCGCCCTCAGTAGTTCGAAAAGTAACCCTAACTGTTATTACAGCTATTGCATTCAAATTCGATGGGTTCCATACTATCGCTGCCTGCGAAGGAAGTCATCGCCGAACATGAACCAACAAAGGAGTTGTTATTTACAACAAAAAAACAACTCCCTGAACCAATCACGAGAAACCTATGGGGTAATATGGATTGTGTTAATACTAATACAGTAGGTATAACTCATTAATTTACGAATGTGATCAAAGGGTAAAGACAGAGAACGAATTACTATGAGAATATTAATACTGATTATAGCCTATATTATTAAACATAGAGATATATACACATCCAAGTAAACAAAAACAAGTTAGAATTAGACGTGGTGAAAAGAAAATCGCCCGGAAAATCGTTAATATTGATAGCAAAATATTAAAAGATCGCATATAATAATATTAAAGCTACAAAAAGTCAAAAATAAATAATAAATAAATAACGACATCCAAAGATTTTTTAATTTAAACAAAATTAACATAGGAATATTTGGAGTATTCCGGCATTGATCCTGTGACCTCTAGCATACTAAGCGAGTGCTCCACCATTTGAGCAGTCTCCCTTCTCAGTTCACCAATACGGAGTAGCTACATATTTTTTTTAAACATTTTAGAGAGGCCTAGAAAAAAAGTAATATGACCCTATGCACTGAACCGGTACCTCTCACATACTAAGCTATATACATTTATATTTATATTTTATTTATATTTATTTATTTATTTTTTTATTTTTTTATTTTTATATACTATTTCTGGTAGTTCCCCTTCATAGTTTGAAAGTATAGACTATCCTATAGTTTTGGCCAAAGTTAGAGAAAATAACATGGAGAACCCGGGCATTGATCCCGGTACCTCTCACATGCAAAGAGAGCGCACTACCATTTCAGCTAGTTCCCCTGCTCATTTAAATAATACGGAGTAGCTACATATTATTTTCGACAAAACATTTAGAGTCCAAGAAGAAATAACATGGAGAACCCGGGCATTGATCCAGGTACCTTTGACATGCAAAGCGAGCGCTCTACCATTTGAGCCAGTTCCCCTTCTGAGTTTGGAAGTACTGACTAGCCTAATGTTTTCAACTAAGTAAGAGACTCCTGGAGAAAATAATTTTGACAACCCGAGCATTGACACCCCCCCCCCCCACCTGTAAAGCTAGCGCTCTACAAACAATTATTTCCCCTTAAACAATACGAAGTAGCATACATAATATTTTCAACAAAATTTTAAAAAGGCCGTAAAATAACATTGAAAACCCTGGCATTGATCTCTCACATACAAAGTGAGCGCTCCAGCATTTGAGCTAGTTCCCCTTCTAAGTTTGAAAATACTGACCAGCAATAATGTTTTTAACAAAGTAAGAGACGCCTGGAGAAAATAATATAGAGAACTCGGGCATTGATCCCGGTACCTCTCACATGCTTACTGAGCGCTCTACCGTTTGAGCTATAAGTTCCCCTTCTCAGTTAAACACTACGGATTAGCCAAAATTTAGAAAGAACAGAAAAAATAATATGGAAAACCCGGGCATTAATCCCGGTACAGCTCACATGCAAACCGAACGCTCTACCATAAGCTAGTACGTCCCCTTATGAGTTTGGAAGTAGGCCTACTGACTTGACTAATGTTTTCAACAAAGTAAGAGACGCCTGGAGAAAATAATATGGAGAACCAGAGCATTGATCCCGATACCTCTTGCCTGCGAAGCGAGCGCTCTACGATTTTAGCTAGTTCCTCTTCTCAGTGAAAAAATACGAAGTGGCATAATACTTTCGACAAAATTTAGAGAGGCCAGGAAAAAAAGAAATAATAATAATAATAATGATAATAATAATAATAATAATCTCTTTATTTATACACAGCAAAAAACTCAAATTCAACATAGAAAATACAATATCAAAGAGAAATTGTAAAAAGTTGTTCTTCCTTGAGTCCGTGGTTCATTAATTAACAACAACAATAAAATTAATAATAATAATAATAATAATAATAATAATATTAATAATAAAAATAACAAAAACAACAAATCATTAAACAACAATAATTATATAAAAGTTAAAATTCATCACAATAAATATTATCAGTAATATTATTATTAATAATATCAATATTAATAACAACAAAAACGGTAACAACAATAACAGCAGAAAATTACAGATAAAAAACACTACCGGTACGCAATTTAAGATAAAACATCAGAGGACACGAGAATTCTCACAAAACAGTATAAAAAACAGCTAGATATAAGATTCAAAAGGTAACTCAAAGAGAATTTCAGACCGAAAACACATTTCAAACAAACACGGAAGTAAGCAAACATTACCATCAGTTCATAAAAGCTTTAAAGATGTATTGTCCATTGCCAATGTCAAAAAATCACAAAAAATATTCCCGAAGTAAACCCGCCCAACATCGCACCAGCACACAAATTGAGAACCTGGGCATTGATCCCGGTACCTCTCACACGCAAAGCGAGCGCTCTACCATTTGAGCTAGTTCCTCTTCTAAGTTTGGAAATACTCAGACTAGCCCTAATGTTTTTAACAAAGTAAGAGACGCCTGAAAAAAATTAATTTGGAGAACACGGACATTGATCCCGGTACCTCTCACATGCAAAGCGAGCGCTCTACCATTTAAGCTAGTTCCACTTTTGAGTTTGCAGGTACTAACTAGCCTAATATTTTTAACAAAGTAACAGACGGCTGGAAAAAATAATTTGGACAACCCAAGCATTGATCTCGGTACCCTCTTCCCTCCCCACCACCTGTAAAGCTGGCGCTCTACGAACAATTTCCACTTTTCAGATAAACAATACGAAGTAGCTACATAATATTTTCAACAAAATTTAGAAAGGCCATGAAATAACATTGAAACCCCGGGCATTGATCCCCTTACCTCTCTCACATACAAAGCGACCGCTCCACCATTTGAGCAAATTCCTCATCTAAGTTTGGAAATACTCAGACTAGCCCTAATGTTTTTAACAAAGTAAGAAACGCCTGAAAATTAATATGGAGAACCCGGGCATTGATCCCGGTACCTAGTGTCACATGCTAAGCGAGCGCTCTACCATTTCAGCTAGTTCCCTCCCTCTCAGTTAAACAATAAGGATTAGCTACATAATAACTTCAACAAAATTTAGAAAGACCAGGAAAAATAACATGGAGAACCCGGGCATTGAAAGTAAGAGACGCCTGGAAAAAAATTAATATGGAGAACCCGGGCATTGATCCCTGTACCTCTCACATGTTAAGCGAGCGCGCTACCATTTGAGCTAGTTCCCCCATTCTCAGTTAAACAATTCGGATTAGCTACATAATAATTTCGAAAAAATTTAGAAAGACTAGGAAAAACAAACAAGGAGAACCCGGGTATTTATCCCGGTACCTCTCACATGCAAAGCGAGCGTTTCACCATTTGAGCTAGTTCCCCTTCTAAGTTTGAAAAATACTGACTAGCCCTAATATTTTTAACAAAGAAAAAGACGCTCTACTTTGTTTTCACGAAAGTAAGAGACACGCTGGAGAAAATAATGGAGAACCCGGGGATTGATCACGGTACCTCTCACATGCAAAGCGAGCGCTCTACCATTTGAGCTAGTTCCCCTTTTGAGTTTGGAAGTACTAACTAGCCTAATGTTTTCAACAAAGTAACAGACGGCTGGAGAAAATAATTTGGACAACACGAGCATTGATCCCTGTACCATCTTTCCATCTCCCCTTCCCTTCCCACCCCACATCTAAAGCTAGCGCTCCACGAACAATTTACCCTTTTCAAATAAACAATACGAAATAGCTGCATAATATTTTCAGCAAAATTCAGAAAGGCCATAAAGTAACATTGAAAACCCGGGCATTGATACCGGTACCTCTCACATGCAAAGCGAGCGCTCTACCATTTGAGCTAGTTCCCCTTCTCAGTTTGGAAGTACTGACTATCCTAATGTTTTTAACAAAGCAAGAGACGGCTGGCGAAAATAATTTGGACAACACGAGCATTGATTTCTGTACCATCTTTCCATCTCCCCTTCCCACCCCACATCTAAAGCTAGCGCTCTACGAACAATTTACCCTTTTCAGATAAACAATACGAAGTAGCTGCATAATATTTTTAGCAAAATTCAGAAAGGCCATTGATCCCTTTACCTCTCTCACATGAAAAGCGAGCGCTCTACCATTTGAGCAAGTTCCTCTTCTGAGTTTGGAAATACTCAGTCTAGCCCTAATGTTTTTAACAAAGTAAGAGACGCCTGGAAAAAAATTAATATGGAGAACCCGGGCATTGATCCCGGTATCTCTCACATGTTTAGCGAGCGCGCTACCATTTCAGCTAGTTCCCCCATTCTCAGTTAAACAATTCGGATTAGCTACATAATAATGTCGACAAAATTTAGAAAGAATAGGAAAAACTAACAAGGAGAACCCGGGCATTGATCCCACTACCTCTCACATGCAAAGCGAGCGCTCTACCATCTGAGCTAGTTTCCCTACTAGGTTTGAAAAGTACTGACTAGCCCTAATATTTTTAATAAAGTAAAATACGCTCTACTTTGTTTTCACGAAAGTAAGAGACGTGCTGGAGAAAATAATGGAGAACCCGGGCATTGATCCCGGTACCTCTCACATGCAAAGGGAGCGCTCTACCATTTGAGCTAGTTCCCCTTTCGAGTTTTTGAGTACTAACTAGCCTAATGTTTTCAACAAAGTAACAGACGGCAGGAGAAAATAATTTGGACAACCCAAGCATTGATCTCAGTACCCTCTTCCCTTCCCACCACCTGTAAAGCTGGCGCTCTACGAACAATTTCCACTTTTCAGGTAAACAATACGAAGTAGCTGCATAATATTTTCATCAAAATTTAGAAAGGCCATGAAATAACATTGAAAACCCGGGCATTGACCCCTTTACCTCTATCACATACAAAGCGACCGCTCTACCATTT